GAAGTGGAGGATCTATCGGTTTTGTGAGGGAAGAAAAGATGAGAGGTAAGTGTGTTAGCTTAATTATTAGCCTAAAAATCCATCATCAGTATTATATGAATCATGAGAAACAAACACACTTACCTAGCATGTTTTGGTTCCTGCAACTGGTCCGTCGGGTTATTGTCTCCCCAGAAACACTTCCCTTGTGCTTTTGGAAATCATTTTTTTCCTATTTCTGTTTTCTTCTTTTTTATATTTCCGTTTTTCCTGTTTCCGTTGTGATTTGTGTGCTTTTGTGGCGTTTTTCTTATTGCTGTTGTTTTCTTAAGTTGCAGTCCGTTTGGCCTCTCAGGGCCACTGTATTTTTCCACCAATACCAAAATACTGGATATACACTGATTCTATTGTTAACTCTTAATGAGTGAACATTGTCTCTTATTTAATGTGTATATGTACGATGTATCATCCACACGCTATTTCTAATCTTTATCACTCTCTTTGACAGCACAGGAGGTCGTCACATAGTATACATAAAACTTCCTGGGAAGTGCGGTTATGGATGTGTTGTAAACTTGAGTAGCAGTAAGGAAATTCCTCAGCTTGTAGATCATGCAGTTTATAAATCAGTTCAAATATTTTGCTCTTTAAGCAAGAATTATACAACGGCCTTGCGGGTAACATTCACAATCTGTCAGTTTATCAGACTAATCCACCTGAGCTCGCATCATGATCCGGCTCATTTATCGCAACCTGGCAACGGCGTGCCAGAGCACGTCTGTGTGCCTGCTCCCTTCAGCCTGAGCGATGGGGTCTGAAACGGTGAGTGAGGAGACGCTGCATCGGGCCGCCGCATCCTCCATCACCGATGTGATGTCAGCACAAATCTGTGTTGTCACAGTGCCTGTGACCGCTCGCTGCATGAGGAAAGAGAAGAGATGGGTGGCTCTGTCTGCTGCTGTCAGTTTGATATAGGGACGACATAAAGAGAGGCAGAAAAGGGGAGAGGAGGAGAAGGAAAAACGGAGGGAAAACACATAAATTTCCAATAAGAAGCAGCACACACAAAGTTGACATTGCGCCCTTTACACGTTTGCAGTTTGTTTAAATAAAAAAGGCACAAATCTAGATTCTAAGCTTAAAAGAAATCTGCTGTTGGAATCACCAATAAAGACAAAAGACATAATAGAAGCAGCTGATGTCATCATTTTGAATTCATTTAATATATAAAAGCTAAAGACATACTGCTTTTAACAGTCATTTAGTCTCTAGCTTACCCTTAAAGTGAAAATAAATGGTTTTCATTGTATTTTATTGTATTTTATTTAGAGTATAACTAATGTTGCACCTAACCTGCTGCAGCTATGCTCGCTCTGCATCAGCTTCCAGTCCTAAACAGCGCTGTTATACTGTTTACGTTCTCCTCTGTGCCCCCTCATCCTGTTTGAGCGCTCGCTCTCATCTTCTCTACGGGGAGTGTGCGGAGCTTCATGCCTCACTGTTCTTATCACATTGGACCCATCCGCCTACAAAATGCTCTGGGGTCTATTTTTAGACACGTACATGGAGCTAATGGGAAAGGATAGCCTAACCTCTTCCCTGATGAAAGTCGAATATAGCCTGGAGATTTGAGTTTGAGTCCTGTCACGTGTGAAGCAGAGCTGTTAAGATTTGAAATGTGCAAATTTATTATTGATGGGCAGAGAGTGTGCTATAATGTTGAAATGCTCCAGGGGTTATTGATGTCTCAAACAGTCCCAACTACCTACCCGGCACCGAGTACACACCCAGTTCCCATAATCTTTATAACAATGCCTACATAGCAGCTCTCCACTACTTCAATTATGCAATAGGTGCCTTAAAAACCTGTCCATAGGTGTATTTTCTGATTTTGTTTGAATTCTTGTTACCATCTAAAAAAAATAAAAATTAACTTTTTTTGGTTTGTTTTTTTACTTTGGACAATGGCTAGCTATACCCAATGTTTCCAGTGTTTATGCTAGCCTAAAAACCTTCTGTAGCTCTATCCTCGTTTTACAGACAGAGTAATATTGATATTCACAGAGCCATTAAAAGTGGCATTTAAAATTTAAAGTGCTTTCCTATTTTACATACATAAAATATATGAAATAATTGAAATAATACAATACCATTATTTCCTGCCTGACAGTTTCAGTCGTTCTCAGTGATGCCTTTTCTACTTGGCATGAAGTGAGTAATGTCATTTGTCCTAACAGCGTTTAACTGTTATTTGACTCGTTGTGGAAAGTCTCTGCCTCACAGAATATGCAATTAATCCACTTTTAGATAAATTCACATGCGCGTGATCACCCAGTGGTGATTAGCAGGATAAGTGACTGATGTGGAACCTCTGTGCTGCAGTAATAGTAGTGTTCATGGATCTTCTGCTCCTAGAGGCAATTTTGGGATCCATACTTCTCCCTCGCCTGTCATGTCTCATCTCTTTCCTAATGATCGCTATATTTGTGCGCTTCTTTGTTTTCCTTCCCCGCTTCTTTTCAAAGCAGCGGTGAAAACTGCTTTGTCGTTATGATCTTCAGCTTTTAGACACTGAGGTGGACCCAGAAAAATAGTCCAGTAAATTCTGGTCTATTTTTGGGAAAATATAGAGCAGCATTTAGGCTTGGACTGAAAATGTTTGGTGATTAGGAGTGGGCTAATTACAGTCATTCTCTAACTCATTATTATTATTATTTATAATTGTTATTTAACCCTTTAAGACCTACCATAGAACCCAAATCCGCCAGAGCTTATATTATAGTTTTACATGCTGTAGTGCCATTTTTGGGAGCATTTCAAGTTGATATACATCAATACAACCATTATAGCCCACATTTTAATAATATGTATGCATTAAGTGCATAGTAATTACATAAATTGCAAAAAAGTGCAATAAACTACAAAAAAATTGACAACCGTTTTTGTTTTTTTTAACATATATTTCTAGTTAGAGAAATTTAAGAGGCTTATCTCTCAAAACTGTAAATACAAAAAAGTTGCACAAAATAGTTTCCAACCACAGGAAATTTATTTTGAGTGTCTTCATAGTTTTATTTTTGAAATACACCAATTTTCATATACTGCAGGAAAAACGAAAATAAATATTATATTGCAAATTTGCCAAAAAAACAGCATATGCATCAAAATAAGCTAAACTATATATAACAGCAGTGCAATATGAGTCCAAAGCATCCCAGAAATGACACAGAATGTCATAAAGTCAAACATAACTTTTAAAAACACCAGGGCTCATAAGGCCCTGATGGTAAAACCGCGTTTCTGGAATATTATGTTTTTGTTGCTGCAAGTGCTTTTATGCAATTTTTGCAAAGCTGTATGTGGAAGGAAACTGTGACCGAGGACAAGCTGATGGCATAAGATGTAAGTACAACTCCTCCAGTTTCATATGCAAAAAAAATTATTGCGCTAACTTACGTGGTTGCAGTGCTACCGGGATTTAAAAATAGTTACGCAAAACCTCCAACCGGCTTTAAAGGGTTAAACCTAATTTGTGGGATTTTAGCAGTTTTTCAGCCCAAGTTGTACATTTAAGATCACCTCTGTGGGCTCTGGATTTCTGTATTTTTAAAACCCCAAATTTCAAATGGATCAGTGTATCTGTGACAGTCTTATTGTGTTGTGTCATTTGTGTTTACTGAGCTTTGGTTTACACTCGATTTGCATTATCAAAAAATCTGTGGCCATGAGCATAAAACTTACTTTATATATATACATATATATATATATACATATATATATACATATAACTAGTCAGTAAATGTCAGCATGTATTTCCACAAAGGGACTGGTAGAAAACATTTCCTGTTTTCTCAATCACAAACTGTAAGTTGTAAAATTTTGTAAAATACTTTTATTTAGAGTTAGAGTTAAAAACAATTCAACATAACTTAAAAATCAAAAGAAAAAGAAGGATACAGTCTTTGGGTCTTAAAAGTGAAAAAGATTTGATAAAGCCATGAGCAGCTATAGAAAACTGAATGATAAACCGTGTGATTCAAAAAGAGATTTACAGAAAGAAAAAGTTTGGTTTCCCATTGTCTTAATGAAAGCCTTTGGAACCGTTAACAAAGGCTCGGTCAGAAGATGTCAAGCAGCGGCCCGGATCATATGAAGTTAACATCTCATAGGTATAGACAGGAGTCAGACCATGAAGGGCTTTAAAAGCCAGCAATAAAATGTTCAAATCAAGTCTAACACTAACAGGTCACATCAAAGGAAACCAGTGAAACGTCGAAACATAAGAACTGGAAAAGATTCAAGGGATTCCTGTTCAGACATCAGCATCGCTAGACTTACACTCTTGATCCAGGTATATTTGTCATCCTAAAGCTAAGTAGCCTACCATCCGTGTGCGTCTGAAGCCAAACAAATACTATAAATTGTCCTTTCATGGTGATTTATTGGACTGGCTCATGCATGCGTATCGTACCCCCTGGGCCACTGTGGGGTGTGGAGAACAACCAGTGGGTCATTGTAACTGTTCAAACTGCAGAATGATGGGTTTTCAACAGGGACTCTGTTAGCCTGAGAAAAGAGACCTGAAGAGAATTTTAATCTCACATGCACTCGGTTACTGAACCGTCCGCCCAGCTCCTGTCGTCCTGCGGCGCTAGAGGCTCAGCGCAAAATGATTAATGAGCATCAACTATTTCGGTCCGAATGTGTTTCTGCTTTTCGTCATTCTTTTTGCTCTCACAATGTAAAGTTACTCCTTTTATGCCATTGTTTCGCATCCTGACAGACACGCTGTCTCACCATCTCCCAGGCACGCGCACAAAGGCGAGGAGTGTGGAATGTCACAAACTGCAGCGCTGCTGCAGTGTTTTGCATTTCAGATGACTGATTGCTGTGACTGTTTTCTCCTGAGAAGCTGTAATCCTGATTTGAAACAGCACACTGTTTGTTTAGTCAGTCACCTTCACGGTAGACAATTTATTTTTCTGATAGGTTTAACATGTTGTTCTCCTCCCTCTCTCTAGAGATCTCCCTGTGAGAGGAAGATATGAGGTTAATGGGCTCCATTTGGATCCTTTGGTTTCTCCTGGTGGTAAGCTCACTTTTTACACAAGGATGTACAATGGCATATATTTCTGAAGGCCCTATCTCTCACTTTGCCAATTTTGTATGCTGTACATGTTTCCTGAACAAGATTCAATTCTCATTAAAGGGATGTATAATATGTTGTGGTCTAGTGGTTTTCTTTAACCAGCAAATTCACTCACCCTGTAAAATTAACTGTAGAACTACCCCAGTTTAAATATCCCCCAATATAAATGAGCCAAGTATATATATGTATAGATGTGCATTTTCTGCTTCAAAATATAGCTGATCCTTGCCCTTTATGCAGAAGATCACAACAGTTTTAATGTAAAATGACATCTTCAGATGCAAAAAGACACACTGGACAAGTCATTTCTTAAACTTATGAATATTTTAGTGGATTTCCAATCAAAAGATCAAAAAGGTGTGATTTAAGCGTGACTTTCAGCTTTAGTGCAAGAGGTTTAATTTATTATTTGTGTTACATTAACTCTTCATACATAGCACACCATTTTCAGAGGCTCAAAAATAATTGGACAAATTAGGATTCCTCCCTTGAGATGCTCTGCCAGGCCTTTACTGCAGTAGCCTTCACTTGCTTTTTCATGGTTGGTGCAACAGGCTGGAAAAAGTTCAAAGGCTTTGATTAACACTCTTGAATTCACAGCAGGTAAGTATTTACAGCGTTTCGCAACACTACTAAAGTTGATATTGAAACACTGGGTTTCAAATCTTTCTCTTTTTGTAGGTTCAAATCCAGTTACCACTTGTTCACTGTTCTCTCAGCTTGCAGGCAGAGCTTGGTTTTGGTTGCTTTCACGAGTAGAACTGCAGGTAAAATTCTGTTTTCCACAGCTGTGTTTACTGCGACATATTCTCCACACACGCTAGTGCAGGTAAGTTCCCTCCAAACCCACAGGTAAGTATTTTTTGTGAGAAAAAGAGTAAGTCAGGCAGGCACACCAGGACACAATCTGCAAAAAAAGGAGGACAGGTCAGGTAAGTATGGCGCACTGGTCACCAAGTTAACAAGCAAATAAGGTAAGAGGTCTAAATTAGTCATTCCTACAAGAAACAGAGAGGAGAACAAGGGTTATATACTGCTGCTGGTAGCAGATGAGGATCTACTTGTGGGAGGAGTAAACAAAGTTAATACTCAAGCCCACACACACGATAGAGAGAAGAGAGATGGAGCAAATGGAGAAGATCGTTTGTTTATACTCTTTTGTAAAGCGTCCTTGGGTTTCTTGAAAGGTGCTGTACAAATCTAAGCTGTTATAATTATTAAAAGAATGAAAGAAACTCAGAACCTGAGAGGACAGGGGGACCATGACATACTGCGGGTCTTTCTGTTTTCAGTTTTCATAAGTGGAGGCAGAGATTCAGGTGAATGATTTGGCCATTGAAGAATACTCCTTTTCTTTGCCTTGAGAAATTCTTGGGTTGCTTTTGCAGTAAGCTTTGGGTCATTATCCACGTCCACTGTGATGCACTGTTGGATCGGTTTTGCAGCATTTGGTTAAATCTGAGTAGAGAATATAGCCCTGTCCACTTCACAATTCATCCTGCTGCTTCCATCAGCCGTCACGCCATCAGTAAACACCAGTGACCCAGCTCCACTGGCAGCCATTCATGCCCATGCAATAACATTTCCTCCACTGTGTTTGACAGATGATGCAATACACTCAAGCTGTTTTTCTCCTCAATATCTTTGTTTTCATCCGTCCATCTGCTCAATGGGGTCTTTAAGGTATTTTCTAGCAGAGTCGGGACTTCTTTTTCTTGAGCGTTAACCAGTGTTTTTCACCTTGTTGTATTTACATTAATGAAGGTGTCTCTTGACTGACAACGACACGCCCACCTCATTGAGAGTTTTGAATTTTTCTTGAAATAACTGGATGCTGTTGTTAACCATGGAAATTATTTTGTGATCATCCACATCATTGTGGTCTTTCAGGCCGTTTGGTGTTGCTGAGCTGGCCTCTGCGCTCCTTCTGTTTAAGAATCACCAGATTGCTGATTTGGTCACTTCTAAAGTTTTTTTTTCTCTCTCTGTGAAGTTTATTTTGGTTTTTCAATCCTAATGATGATCTTTGTCTTTATATCGACATCTCTTTTTTCCTCTTTGGAGAGCTAAAGTGAACAGCTACCAAATTAAAGTTCAACGCTTTGAATTAATTCCAGATGTTTTATCTCCTTAATTTGTGATAAAAAAAATAATGAGGGAAGATGGAACTGCTTGCCAGTCAACTGTCCAATTACTCTGAGCCTCTGAAGCCTGGGGGCGATGTATAGACATGTCTGTGATTTTTAAACAGTTAATACAATACTTTTGTAAAACCTTGATTTAAAAGTCTGCACTTCAATCACATCTTGTTTGTTTGATTTAAAATCCATTGTGTTGGTGCTCAGAGTCAAAATAACAAAAACGGTCTCATTGTCTAAAGCACTTAACCGCACGATTGCATTCTGGAACAGGATTGGGGAAGTCAGTCACAAGGTTACTTTTAATGACGAGGCTCTGCCCGATTTTATTTGAGCTTTAATTAGCTTTAAATTGTCTTTTTATTTCTTACGTTTGTTACTCTGGATTTATTCTGTTGCTCTTGTAACACACTTTGTAATGGCAATTTTGAAAAGTGCTATGTTAATAAAGTTATTTGTCATTATGATAACAGCACATCCTTTCATCAGCCACAGAAAGAAGTCACTTTTTAGTTTTGGTTTTATTTTTGTACCACTTTTGTGCCGCTATGTACATGGCCTCAAAATAAAGGCTATACACGTATAGCAAAAAATAATGAAAGGCAGTGGAGAGTAGAAATTGTGATCTTTATCAAAGAAAAATGGATTAAAGATTCACTATGCATAAAACACCAGGAGGTAAACTTCCTGTTAGAGGTTAATAGAGGCAATAAAAGAAATAAAACCTAATGCAATAATCTCGTATTATTAACCAATCTCTGGACATTATATGAATGTCCAATAGCAGTGCCATATAAACAACAGCCTACAGCAGAAAGCTCTTAATGGAGATCTTGACCTCAAATCTTGATCTTGGGCTCTTCTGAACACCAGGATCAGATATTTAATGCACCTTGGAGAGCTATGACATTTCCCCAGCCCCAGCTTTTGAGGAATGTCATCAATTAGCTTAATGGGGCTGTTGTAATCATCGGTCACAGAGCGTAACACAAACCGTATGTCATATAGGGATGACATGTTTTGGCATGGTGTTCTATCATGTAATGATGTGCCCTATTAAGGTATTACAATCAAAAGTCAAACTTTGAAGTGGAGCTTGTACAAATTATGGTTAGTTGAATAATTAAGGTCTTAATAAAATGATCTTCAACACCAACTGGGTGAAAAATTTTGAACTTTTTACAGATTTTTTTGAGTCAACGGGCTTTATGGAAAATCATTTGGTATTCTTCAATGTCGCAGGGAGATGGATGTTTTCTTTCCCAGCCTGCTTTTCTGCTTGAGTTGAGGACGAGGTCTTCCAGCTAAATATTTATGCCTGATGTACCTGTGCAGGTCTGCCACGTGTTTCTGTGTTGTGTGGTTTTGTCATGTTGAATACAAAAGACTTGTGTAGGTGATGAAGCTGTTAGACCATGACATGCGAAGTTGTTTTATTTTTTCTCATTCAGCTCAGCTGTTGATACTGGTGGTGGCCTGGTGGTCGTATGTATGACGTCATTTACTTCAATGCTTGGAGTGACATCATATGTACGGCTGCTAAACTGCTACATGGGACATCAGCTCTCAAACAAAAGCCACTTTTTAAAAACCTGCTTTGTATTTTTCTTTTTTTTTACAAACTTTTTATCGTACAGGTAAGGACGACACTTTGATCTAGTCACAATTTGTATTTCCTCCACAGACAACCAGGGGATTGTGGGTTTGCATCTCATTTGTGATATGTAGACACAATCTCCCAAGCAAAGTACTAAATTTCCACAAAGAATTTGGAAAATGCAAGTGCACGAGCCTTCGAGAGGCTTAATTTTCAGCCAAAAAAAGAAGGAAGATAAGTCACAGCAAGATGGGCTCTTTATCCTTCAGTGAACAGCATTATCAGAATCAGCATTTCACACAGCGGGCTCTCCATTTTAATGTTACCTCCAAACACAAACAATAGAGCAGAGAAAAGATTCATTGGGAGAAAGTCAGCTGCTTAACGTCCTTTGTGAGCTTGCAAACATTTTAATGAGTTACACAAATGGAGCGTGAGTAGAATTTCAAAGCAGAGTGAAATCCTCATCAGAAAAGCTTTGAAGATGCTTCAAAAACTTTCCATGCTGACTTTTTTTCATTTTTTCTATCCTTTATCCAAATGCACATCTTTATCCAAGCATAATAAAACTCTGAGATATTATAATTGAAACCTACATCACCATTCAAGATGATATTTACCTTTTTTTTTGGACGATCAAAGAAATGTAGATCAGAGCAGAAACCGCAAACAACACAATGATGCTTCCCTGGCCACGGCACGTATTGCACTTAGTGTAGGGCATGTCCTCCTCTCAACTCTAATTCATGTTGTCTCCACAGTGCAGGACAGCGGAAGGCACTGACTCAATCTCAGACCCATCGCTCAGTCCTCAGCAGAGCATTGTAGAGGGACAAAGTGTGCAGGCGCTGAGCCAGGGTCAATACAAATGTCTCGAGCTGTCCCGCAAAGGCCGCCAAGAAAGCAGAACTGGTGAGAGGTCCCAAATTAATTTCAGGCTTTTTGAGACCAAATCCATTAACTCTGGGAGGGCTTTGCAGGTGGAGTGATGTAAAACTATTGAATGGGACCAGAACAATGTTTGTGTTCTTGTTAAAGATGATAGTGGTACTGCTGCAAGCTAACTGGCCCAATAGGGCTTTTAAAGTTTAGGCCGTAAGACGTAATCACATCTGTAGAGACATTATTTTACATTATATTACTCTGACTAAATAAATGAATAATACAAATTTTTTTTAAATTGTAACGTAATGTAGAAAAGACAAGGACATTTTCCCTTTTTAAGTTTTTTCTTTAATAGTATACTTATGTAAGAAAAATAAGTGTTTATGATAGTAATTACCCCCCCCCCCCCCCTTTTTTTTTTTTCCTTCTTCGAGGGGTGCGCTGTGATTACATGTGGGATAGTTTGTTGTGCTGGGATGAGACACCAGCCGGGACATCAGTAACACAAAATTGTCCGCATCATCCTCAACTCTACCCGACTGGTAAGAACGTTTTTCGCATCTCTCACTAGATTTACAGCAACAGGCAGTCTGAAGTGAGACCTGCTGGGTAACATCGGGAAAATGGCTAATCGTGTCTCACAGAGGCCAGATAGCTTGCTTAACTTTGTTCTGTAAGGACTTAAAATTTCACAGCTGCGGAGTTCTGCTTAGTTTTAGTGTATGGTTTTATGAATTTTATGCATAACAGAATTATTTTTAGACATATGTCTTAAACTTAATGGCTGATGCATGGAAACCACGCATCAGCCATTAAGTATCATCAGTTTTATTCATAAAGCAATAGAGTGATTGATGTGAAATTTAGCTGAGGCAGATTATCTATTATGTATTACGTAAATCCCCTCCTCAGGTCAAAGGTTAATGCTTTTGTTTATCACACAGCCTCAGCTTAGTAATACGATCTTAAGACGGTAACCATCTTCATTCAAGCACAACTGTGCAACTGGTTTCGGTGTAACCTGCAGATATCCAAGCCAATAATTCAATTCTGTTCATTGTTTATTAATGTTGATACATTTTAACTTCATACTAACTATTTGCTTAAATGCTCAAATTTGATTGGCCAATCTTCTGGACACTACAAATTTAAAACCAGAAAGATTCCAATAGCAAAAATGTTGTTGCTTGCCTACAGATTATGTGCACTTATATAAAGATATTAGTCTGTAGAGATTAAGCATAACTTTGCATAACTACTTGGTTGCAGATTCATGAAAAAGCCCAATCATATTTGCTTCTGTATGACATGCTAGAGAAAAGATTAATACACTGTAAACAAGGTAAAACACGATCCTACTGTACTCTTTGAGTCAGGCAGGATAGAAAAACAGATTTATTCATATTGAATTTGACTGTGATTATATAAGTACAATTGATGTTGGGATTGCAGCATTAAGCGTTTCCAAAGAATGTGCAGTTTTTACATTGTGAGTAGTACAAGGTTCAATAATGTCTAGTTGAAGAACTCCAGACTCAAGTCATGTCTGATTTAGGAGATGCAATATGACGAAGAGAGCAGAGGTGAAGGAGAGGACAGAGAGATGAATGAGGAATATGTAAGGGTAAAAAAAGACAAGCAAAAGAAAAGAAAAGAAAGGGAGGAATTATAAAAATATATAGGGACGCTCGATTCCTGACAGATGGATAGGGAGCGAGAACATGAATGTGGGAACAGAGAAGCCATTTTTGTAAGAGACGGCTCATAAAGGATCTTCCCAAAATGCCTGGGTACCCACATGACTCCTTGAAAGCTGACGCTGCTGATACGAGGTCTTTGGGAAGACGTACAGTTGGAAGTGGTTGCTGAACAGTTAATGAGCTGCCAGAGAGGACTAGGCAGTCGGACTGCAGTTGTTGATGTCAAGAACAAAGTGATCTCACTGATAGGTCCAGCCATGGATCTCCACTACATGTGGTTTAAAACCTGACGTATATGAAATGACCGTACAATTATTCCAAATGTGGACATTTCTATGTGACTAACTTCTGATGATATTTTTCGAGCTAAGTTAAATGCATTTGTTTCATAATGCCAAGGTTCGGGTTTAGATTTATGTGTTTGGGCTATGCCAATGTTTTACTGTTGAAAAACACTGAAAGACGCAGCCAAAGCATACAAAGAATCTCTACTGAACTCTCTGCTAAACAAACAGGAGCAGTAGACTGTGCCTGTAAGCCGTTTAATATGGTATATGAGGCTTTTAGGAAAATTATTGATGGATAATGCTGTTGTAGCACTGCCAGTGAGGCTTTTTCCTTTTTTTTCCACAGAAAAAATGACCAAATATTGTGATGAATCAGGTAACTGGATCCAGACTGGCTCTACCTGTCAACAAACTTTAAAGGACAAATTAGAGGTAATTGATCATTGTTTTGTTTTTTCTCTGAAAGTGATTGAACAAGACAAAGCTTGCATCAGTTTCTATATGCAGCAGGCTAATATTTTTCTTTCCCAGAAGGAAATCCCTGATTTTCAAAGGGATGCAGCAGCAGAGCCAACCACGGAGGCTCCAGGGGTTAGCACAGAGAAAATTATCCTTGACAATGAAAAGAAATGCCAAGAGAAAATGAAGAATGATCCACCTTATAGAAAACCAGGTCAATATATCACATTCATCAGCATCTGCATTACAGGCTTGCAAATTTATGAATAATGGGCCTGTAAACATTTCTTTGCTTTTTTTTCCTGGTGTAGGGCGGTATTGTAGTCGTACCTGGGATGGGTGGTTGTGTTGGGATGACACTCCAGCGGACACGTACGCCTCCCGAAACTGCCCTGATTATTTCGGTGACTTCGACCCCACAGGTGAGCAAAGACATTCAAGAGGATTTGCTCATCTGATAAACTGTTACAATATCTAAACATCTAAGTAAGAAGAGGAAGCGTTACACTGTTTCCACACAGTAAGGTCCTCGGTTTGAATCCATGAGCAGAAGAAAATGAATGAATGGATGGATAGTAAAAAGCGCCTGTATTTAGTGATGGAATTATTCTTTACAGAAAAGGCAACTAAGTACTGTGGAGCAGATGGGAAGTGGTTTCAACATCCAGACAGCAACAGGACTTGGACCAACTATACGCTCTGTGCAACCACCCATGAGAAAAGGCAGAGGGTAACATGTGCTGAATGTAATAAACTGTTTGATGTGTGTTTATTTGACAGGTCCCTGCACATGGTCCTCAGTTTGTCTGTTCAGTACTGTTTAAAGCTGAAATCTTCATTCTTTCCGCATAGAAACTGAAGTTGCTTGAGAGTGAATATAGATGTCTCCTCAAAATAAAACAAGAGCCACCGTCTACAAAAACAGGTAAACTGATTCTTTCTTCTACACAGTGCTGAGCTTTTACACTACCTGGCCAAAGAAATTCAGTGCCTGGACTTCACAAAATAATTGGATAAGAACCTTCCATTGGATAATTTCTGATGATGATGATTAATGTTTTGGTTTACAGAAAGTTATTTAACCTCAAGGGATGCAGTGAGTAGCTTCCAAGTTCGTAAACAGCCATGTCTGGTGATGCATCCCATGGTTGTGAATAAGATGTTACTCGGTTTCAGAAGTCAAATTATCCACCTGCATTAAGCAAAAAAAACCAATGAGGATATTGCGGAAATTACTAAAGCTGGATTAGGAACTTCCCGATGCATTATTTAAACCTGGGAGGACTGCTACGAGGAAGAAATGTAATCGGGGAAAAAATTCTGAATATGGTGAAGTGATCAGAGGTTATGTAAATGTTTGGTGACATCAAATCATTAAAAAAAAATTTAAATAATCCACCAGCACAACTCACAGCTATGTTTACTGGTGAAAGTAAGAGCATTCCCAACAAAAGAGAACAGTTGTGCAGCTTTAAGAAAAAATACTTATCAGTGAAGCGAATCGCAAAAAAGCCTCATTTTCCCAGGTAGCATAAAGATCGGACTTTGGAGCAACAGAAAAGTCTTGTGGTCTGATGAGTCCAGATTAACCCTGTTCAAAACTGATGGACAAGAACGGTAAAAAAAGAAAGGTGGATGAGGTGCTCGTGCCTAATGCCTACCGTAGAACCCAGTGGGGGAGGTGTTGTGATCTCTGGTTGCTTCAGTTGTACAGAGCTCAAATGACCACCTGAATATTCACCAGATGGCAACGTCATCATTCAACAGGCTCAAACTGTGAAACAGTGGTTCATGGACCACAAGACATTAAAACCACTGAGAATCTTTGGGATGCAGTGGAGAAGACTGTACCCAGCAGGCTAACGCTCCCTTTGTCAGTACAAGATCTTGTCTAAAACACAATGCAACTCAAGATGGAAATAAATGTGAGGTTGCACAAAACAATGCCAAAGTGACTGCATCAAACCTAAAGATAGTCCAAGTAAATATTAGTGTGTCTTGTTTTTAGCCAGTGAGATTTCCCTGTAATTATAAGTTTCACATTTATCCATGTGAATTTGAGACCTATACACATTTGCTATCATGTTTTGTGGGTCCTACAGGACTGTACTGCAACCGTGACTGGGATGGCTGGTTGTGCTGGGACGACACTCCGGCAGGAACCACTGTCTCTCAGAGCTGCCCTGATTATTTTTCTGACCTTGACCCCACTGGTAGGTGGTAAAATTCAACATGGTTGCTTGTTTAAAGATTTGCTGCTTTCCTGCTAACCTTTTTTCGTCTTCTATGAATTATATTTTTAAAGAAAGAACTCAATGAGTGTTAAATTGTGTACAGCGATATATTTATACATAAGCATTCTTTTTAGAAAGGGCATCCAGGTACTGCAGAGAGGATGGGCAGTGGTTTCGCCACCCAGAGAGCAACAAGACATGGACCAACTATACACTCTGTGCCATCAACACTAAAGACAAGTTAAAGGTAATGTAACAATAAAGTGCAATTATTCCATACCGTTTTTCTCCTTGGTCATTGTTTAGTTTAACTGAGCATGACTCTGTGTGTGTATGTGTGATATTAAACTTCACTAAAATCAAGGCAGCCGCCCAGTTTTCCAGGGACACTGAGGTCAACGGTGCCGACGAGGCCACGGTCAGTCCCACGGCTAATCGGGAGCAGCAGGAAATAGTGAGGAAAAAAATCCTCGACAACCAGTACAAATGCTTCGAGAAAATGAATCGAGATCCGCCTTATAACAAATCAGGTAACAAGAATATCAAATGAAAAGAAAATCTGGGGTTCTCTACTCCCCTCTTAATGTTTAAGTGTCATCACACTGCGTCGATGTTATAGGTTTGTACTGCAGTCGCAACTGGGATGGCTGGCTGTGCTGGGACGACACTCCAGCGGGAACTTACACTTTCCAAAACTGCCCTAATTATTTTCATGACTTCGACCCTACGGGTAAGCAGCAAGACTGAAGCATTTAGCTTCTTTCAAGTTCTTTTGATTTGAAGCGATTAACTTAGTTCATGACCGATATGTTCAGAAAAAGCAACCAAGTATTGTGGAGAGGACGGGCAGTGGTTTCGTCACCCGGACACCAACAGAACTTGGTCTAACTACACACTCTGCAATGAAAACACCAATGCCAAGCTGAAGGTAATTTATTTCAAATTTAAAACTATTCTGCTATCATTAATCTGCTGCATTGTGGCCACAGTGTGATGGGTCAGCATAATAGTTTCCTTTGTGCCAGGGGCTCTGCACTACCAAGATTCATAACTCTCCCATACTGGTGTGATACTGATCTAAAATAGCATAGCTGACATTTCAGACCACGCATGAGTTTGATGCATTTGTTTACATGACAGGCAGGAAGGCTTAAAATTACATTATTACCTGCTTACAGTTAGAATTTGTACATGTAATGGTCTTATCTCATGGGGCCAAGTCCAGACAAAGTAGGTTTTGTTTGACTGAACAAACAGAGTTTGCATTTATTGGAAGCTTGCTTCTAATAAATGCTTCCCAATAGCCTGTGCCACAGGCTATACAGTCACAGGAAGTCTCCTTAGTAATAGTGTTACGACGACATCTTCACATATTAACAACCTTCTCATCACCAACAGCCCACGGCTACAAAACGAAGCCTTTAACAACATTTTCCACATGAAAACCAGACCAGAGCATCACAGAACTCTCACTGGGAATACAAACACCCAGATGGACTGTTTGAACTTTAGTAAAACATTTTGGAAATGTTTTAATTAGTAGTGACTGTGCCTCTTTTATGGGCAAGCATGTTATTATCAACTCTTATGCCAAACCATTTGTGTTTGTGCAAAAATGTTCAGCAGCTGGCTTTAAATTTGGATCTGGAATCTTTCTGGATTTGTTGACCTTGACCATTCATAATCTCCCAAAAGCCGTTTCAATTTTGTTGTCATTGCAATTTGTTTTGTTTACTAATGGATATTTTGGCTATACAGTGAACAGAAGGTGTTAGAGTTAGACCTGGGGATTAAATTGTGCCAGAGATAGAAAATGTTTGCAGCACTAATCATAACTGACTGATTGATACCTCTACCTGCTTCGGTCATTCAAATAATATTTTATCTTGATTCAAACATTCCTCTTTCAGCTCCAGTTAATTTCTTACTTGAATTTTTTTTTAAAAAGATTCATATTTGTGGGAAAAGTAGAAAAGTCAGGTTTTGTTTATCTCTGTTACATGTGTGTTTGATCGTAGGGGGGTTAAAATGTTCAAATTTATTGTTGTTCGATTGGGCTGCACAGCTGTGGTCCATTATGTTTTATTGTTTGACAAATTATAATCCTCACTGGGAACACATGGAATCGAATGGTGTAAAGTTACCTCTTCCCACACGGCGCTTAACAAATGTATCAGACCCAATGTAAGGTCTATGTATTAGCTGCCCTAAATTAAGAGTACTAGTAATTAGAAAGTCATTTTTATGCTTTGGTAATTGTTATTCCACCAGTATACGTAAACTCCTTAATTGAAATTATGCTGCAAATGCTAAATTATAATTATTGTTTTACAAAAAAGCAGACTAAATAGTAAAGCACATTATTATTTTTAAATTAAGGTGCCAAATTTCATTTATTTACTTGCATTCCTGAACACAAACATATTGAACGTTATGCTTGATTAACTTCTGACTTCTCGGAGAAGTAGATTGCGCCCTCTCAAATTTGGTCACTAGGCGTTCCCCGACTAGTTGGAAGGTGGTTACTGGAGGCTGCGGTGTGAAATCGCTTGCAAAGAGTTTGCTGCCCCAGAGTCTTACCTACAAACGACAGGCAGCTGTTGCAGTCTTCTAGTGACCAAAGCAATTACAAGGGATCCCTTTGAGACTACTTTCACTTAGCAACAGAAAACAACCACCGAAAACCGATTGCCAGCTATTTAGGGAATATTCACTTATAGGCAAGTGATTGGCAGGCAGTTGCTAACCCATCTCTAAGCCTGTGTGAGAAAGTTATAATGAATAAACATGAATAAACTTCAAAGCTAACAGCATTAGTTTGGAAAATAATGAGAATGGTTTTCCTTCTCCTGTTTGCCTTTTTACTCAAACTAACTAAAGTTATCATTGAAAATATCAGTATTGGAAATCGGGTTCAGGATTGTGAAAGTGCAACAACATTTCTTGTTGAGCGTTTTGTCCTAAAAGTAAAAACCATCAAATTAATTCAGCTGAATTTTGTGGTAGACCTGAAAGTTAGCTTGTCGATAAGAAAACATGTTCTTTTTGTCTAGTAATACACAGTATCTCTATCTTTGTGTTTTTTTGTTTTGCTTTACAGTCCGCCTACATCCTGTTTTACATGGCCATCGTGGGCCATGCTTTATCCATAGCCTCCCTGCTTATTTCTCTGGCCATCTTCTTCTACTTCAGGTAAAAGATTCAATGTGATGAATCTTTCCTACATGTGAGACTGCAGCACTGTGAGAATGCAACTGTAGTTTGATGACGCAATGATGATTAATAGGTAGTGTTGTCATCCTTAATGACTCATCATCTTTACCTGACATGATCTGACAGGCACAGTGATGTTGTCCTTACTCATTATTTGCACGATTCTTGTCTTTGCCTTATTTGGAGTCAGCAAAATATGAGACAGACTGTAATAAAAATATTATTCCCTGTCATAAATTAATGCAAAGTATCAATCTGACACTGCAGTTTCTCTTACACTATAGTCATACTAGGAAAAACAGTGGCTGGAGATGTGTCATAACCACAATTATTAGAACTATCTATAATGAACTTGTTGTCTTTGAGGACCACTCACAGTCAGTTGCCATCTTCAAAGGGACTTTGCTGCATCAAAATGGTGATAAAGTGGCATTAAAACAGAGTCAGTATGCTATCAGTTTGTGATTGAGTAGCGTCAAATTGGCAATTAAATGCAATTTGTTTGGGATAATATGGTGATTCACTGTGATAAACTGGCAGAAATTGTAAATTTACATTAGCTACTTAAGGGTCCACCCAGAACCTCATAAATCTGAAACAGATTAGGGACATAGTTGCTACAGGATGGTGATTTAACAGCAAAATGATGCCATCACTCAGGATCTACATAGGAACATAACCCGAATAAAAACAACTGGCAGCTGGATAGCAAAGACACACAGATGTCACAGATGAGTTGCACTCCTCAGCACAGACTGACTCAGACTCATTACGACATGTTGGCAATCTGTCTGTGTTTTTAAATCAGCATTTTTTTTGCAGCAACTCACCAATCTGAGAGTGTTGGACTTGGTCTGAGTCAGACTCCCACCAGGAGACCTGGCAACCCTGATGACTCTGGCAATCCCATTGTGATCCAAGGTGGTTGCCCAGGGGTTGAGAGTCTCAGCCTCTAGACAACTAGTTGGTCAGTGCAACTATTTGCAGCTTGTTTCTGGCCTAAAAAACGTCTGTGCAATCACCAGAAAACCAATATTTCAATTCAATTCAATTCAGTTTTATTTTTATAGCCTCATGTGGATTTATATTGTAAGGTAAAGTAATACTAGTCTACTAAGTTTTCCTATTTCTTAGTTTGTCTGAGTCATTAAGGTTACTTCTAGAATGTGTAAATCATTTCTTTACTTTCTCACACATCTTCAGTTTTTTGTGCATAGTTAAAATTCTGAGCAGAATGTGTTGGTGCTTTGCACCTGAGTTTATTGCTCATTATAGATGTTCATCCATACAGATGCTTAATCCCAGCGGAAGAGAATACAAAGTTAAGCAGTGTGCTTCAGCTGAAATTCAATTAGATAAGAGTTAAGAATAACAAACCAGATTAGCGGGAAAGAAATTGAATACTCAGTGAATAATCTATAATATTTTAATGATTGTGCCACAAAATAGTTGTGAAACTTTACGTTTCTCTGGGAAGTGAGGAGCTTATCAGTGTTATTTCAAAAGAACTGAGGCTTCCCATTTAACTGAAGCAGCGACAAATAAAAAAAGACGCTTTTTACATTCTGAAACAATATTTGGAAACACTGGCTTGTTGGCCCTGTGGTTGGCGATTGTTGCAGTTATAAATTTTGATGTGCTGAAGTCTGCTGACCTCCTAAACACAGCTGTTATCCAGAACAGTTCTTGTAAGAGAACGTTATTGTGCAGCAAAGTTTTATACGCACTCATAAATCTAGAGGCCGAGTTTGGGGCAGGTGCATAATCACAAAACCCGCTGACCCACCGAGAGTCAAACTCTTCAGCTGCAGAGCAATTCAGTGGCCAGTCAAGATTCATCGAGATTAAAGTCCTAACAAATTAAGATTTCAATAAAATAACAAGGTGTTTGGCTGAAACCGTCTTATCTTTTTTTTTCCTCTCTTTGCAGCCATTACTTAATATATTCACTGCCAAAACATTTAAATTACTGGATTTTGTATTATAAGATCCAGATGTGAAGCTCACAGTGGTATGTGATGCTGTATAGTCGCTACTCTGTTATTTACAACTCTACATCAACGCTGTCAGGATTCCCAGATAAAAATACTCCAGTTTTCTGTGGAAAAATGGGGGCTGGTGGAAATTCTGACAGATACATTGGGACCTGTGACAGTTGAACGATGCTGCCATGGCCCCATTTTTGATAAGTCCTCCCTATATAAACTACATAGTTTTTTAAAAAAAATTTTATGGGAAGAAAATTGGGTTTACGTGTAATGAAATGGGCTGTACTGTATAAATAAAACTTACATAAATAATGAACAATTCCTACATTTCCTTTTTTGTCAGGAACTGGAGAAAGAAAAATGCCTGAATATTTTTACATGGCCACTGTGAAAATGTGCTGCCCTATGCTATTTTTCAGGACATTTAGTGCTTTCATTGGTCTCAGGGGGATTTATGAGTCATCAAAGATAAAATTGGCCATGAGAGGTATATGGATACAACTTATTTAACTGTAAAATGGGTATTTAATGGAGGGTATGTTCTGTAAAAAAGCAATTTGCTACCGGACTCCATTCAGCTCTGAAATGCAGTCTGTTTGATTGCTGTCAAGAAAAAAAACCCATCAAAAGCAATAATAATAATACTGATATGAGTGACTTTGATTCTAATAGTTGTTTTCACTTTGCCCGTAATGCATTTTATTACGCTATTAATCCTGAGTGGCCAGTCAAGCTAATGTGAATGCACCCTTGGGATCCATTATGCATTATTTAACAGCACTTCTAGCTTGTTCAGGCCATTTAGAGACAATCCAGCTCATTGATCCACACTTTTTTTTCTTTGACAGCTGCAAAAAAAATCCGTTTGAGATGAAAGATAACAATTATGTGACACTTCACATCTCATTAAACTATCAGCCTGCTAGTCACTTCTCTTTCCTGTGCGTGTCATCGGTTGCACCAAGTTTTTGTGTTCTTTGATGTTGTGTGTGACTGAAAAGGTTTTATTCCACATTTGTGAACAGTATTATCAGCATTTTAATTAATCCTTGCACGCAGGAGTCTGAGCTGCCAAAGGATCACCCTCCACAAGAACCTCTTCTGCTCCTTCGTGCTCAATTCTGCCCTTACTCTCATCCACCTCATTGCCGTTGTCAACAATCCTGAAGTGGTGGCCAGAAATCCAGTGAGTAGATCCTCTCTTACGTATTTACCGCAACTTCCATGTAAACTACTGGTAGCTGTCACCTGCTAGTGACCAAAGCAATGACAAGGTTTTTGGTGCAGCACCTTCTTTGTGACTGAGTTCATCAGGCGATGGCCAGTAACCAACTGGTTTTATAATTCACCTTTTCCCTAATGACCGGAGGTTGCCCCAGGTTGCCAACTGGTCTTTAAACCTGTACGACAGGACCTTATTCCTCAGATAGCTATACTTACAGCACAAAGTCACCTGAACACCTTCAACATTTATTTCAGAAGATTTCCCCAACACACAAAATCATAAAAGAGTGACTATTAGAGAGGTTTGCACGAGAGGGTTATGGTTTCCCAGGCTTCAACTTTGATGACCAACAACCTGTAACAGTGACACATTTATTACCTGAACTCTACCTGTAAAGTGAATCATTTACTCTTTCAGTCTGAAAAGGGAAGGGAAAGCCTGTCTTATGTCTTAATGCAGGGACTCCTCTGGTTGCAGACTGTGCAGAAGTTTATTGGAAACGCCCCTGTTGCTCACTTGACTTATGACTGCAATGAAAAGTTTCCCTGATGAGTTTATGGTCATGATCACTATTCTCAATTCTTATTTAAATCAGCATGGTGTTCCCTTTGTAAATTGTGCTCCCATTAGAGTAAAAAAGAATGATAAAGCAGGTTAAGCTTTATGGTGTGCCTACCTTGGTTTACAGGCTGCTACTGTGTGCTCTACCAGTGCAGACTCAGATCCACCCCAATTTCAAAACTACATAATGCCAACATGCTTAAAGATATAATTCTATTAACGAATCTATGACGTAAGGACCATGATGGAAAATCATTTATGTACAGTATGAATGCACTGCACAGTGAACATCAACCCTGAGTCATAGTGAATGGCTCTAACTCAAGGAAAACAATTTCAGTTCCTGTAACCAGCGGCTCATTCAATATTTTTTGGACACGCTTCAGTTCAGTAAGTGCTAAGTACTTTTAAATAAACTTATTCTTGTGAATTAGGACATCTGGAGGTCCTGGAAGCAGCTACGTGACATTTGCTAAATGCTAACGGTAGCACACTCAAATCCTCAGTTCCAGTGCTAGGCCCCTCCTGCTAGATTTAACATCGACTGCACTGTCTTTAGTTTAGCGTATTAAGATAATAATAATAAGTCTTTAGCTATAATCGAAAAATACTTTTGAATACTTTATATAGCATTATTAGATTTTTGTTTTCCATGTATTTCATTGTCCATATAACCAAGATCACATGGCTGACTGACCCACTGACAAACCTGAACTATAAGACACTAGTGCTTGTTAGGAAAAGGAAAAAAAAACACCATGCAGGAGGGACAAGTTGGTTACAAAACATGCAAATGTATGTATTTGTATTTAATTTATAACATATTCATATGAATTATTAATTATTAAGTAATTAGTTTACAATTATAATAATGTATATAATTATAATTCATTCATTTATAATAATCTATAGTTTCATTCAATTTATGCAAAGCCAAATAAAAATGTGAACACTGTGGTAGCATTTTTTTTATTTTAATTGTAGTTGATGTGCAGGACACACAAAGTGAGATCTGGTCTGTTTCTTGATATTGAGTTTTTCTAAAACAGATCCTGCTCTGCAACATCCTGGAATTGCTACACAATCAACGTACAGTTTTTGTTTCTCTATTTTTATCCCTGTGTAGGTTCTCAGTGATCCAGGTCGTGGGAATCCAAAATAGCTTGGAAAAAAAGTGACTGGACTTCTTTAAGTTTCTTGAAGACGTTTCACTTCTTCAGAAGCTTCTCAGATGAGAGCTGAAATGTCTTCAAGAAGAAATCTAGTTGCTTTTCTTTCCAAGTGCCTTAGATTCTCTTTTTATTCCATTTAACTTTTTGTCTTTTGTGAATTGTTTGAAATTCTGAGGTCAGCTTAGGTAGAGGTAATAAATCTGTCTTGTGGGAATTCCTTGATATCAGGACTGAGCATAAATTTGTATGTTACTTGTGGAAATCAAAATAACAAACGCTTGTTAAGCTGCTGCTTGCTGCCTCTTAAAAGCTGTTATTGCAGAGATTCAGTAACTCCAGAAAAGGATCATATTTTTTGTTTTACTGCCACATAAAATCAAACGCATTCAGTCCCTCCAAGTCAATAAATACTGACAACATGTTGTTTAAAAAACGTACAAAAGATTGTAAAAATAAACACCCTCCTTGCAATCTGTAATATTTTTAAAACGGTCCTAAATAATTTTAAAAAAGAACTTTAGATGATCAAAGTGCCATACAGCAAAAAACCCAGCAGATAGGACTGTAGAGTTTGGCTCGCATTGCGCACAATCGCATCAGCCATATCCTGCTTTCAGCTGGAGTATCGCTTGCCTGACAAAGCACTGGAAACATCAAGGACGCAGCAGAGGCTTCAGCTGGGTTTTAGTTTGTTTCTAAGTCCTGCTTTCCCCCCGTTCAATGAATCTGTCTGGCTCAGGCTGAGCTGAACGTATCCAAGATGCAGACAGAAATGACAGCCGTCATAATCAACGTGAGGAAACGTGTATTTGTGCGGTGGCCCCCTTTCAAATCTCCCCCTTGTCATCATTTGTCAAAAGGTTTGTGTTGAATCTGTTACTTTCTGATGTAGTACGGTCAAGTTGTGCTAACTTGCTGCAGCATGTCAAAATAAAATTAGTTACCGTGGCCTTGGTTCTCGAGGCGGGAGCAGACAGAGAGCGCACAAGCGCCTCTGGTTGGGACCCGTGCGCGTCTGTGAGGAAACATTTCTGAAATTTACTGATGCCAGAGTGAAACTTATGAGCATGTTTTCAGTGCTGGTGATTTAGGAACGGTGGATTGCAGTAGAGATTTGCACTCTAGGAGAAAACAAGCTCTTTGTTGTCTCTCTGGAGTGGTAATAGAGTCTGGTTTGGCCTGCCAGCATTATGTGGGAGTGAATCCCCAAAGCTTATGTCAAACCAAGGAGGAGGCTGAAAACATGACAAACACGTACATGATCTATAGCAGCTTGATTTGTTAACCAGAACATTGTTAGTAACTTAAGACAAACCTTGGTTAACTGCAGACCTGAATTAGTGAAAACTATGCGCCCTTAACTCGCAGATACTGACAGCAGCGGCTGTCTGTTATAGTGAAGTGGAAAGGGAAACGTATGAAAGGAAGGGAGAAAAAATATGGGGAAGAGTTTCAAAGTGAACAACTGTTGTGTGTTTTGAGCTAAGAGGACCTCAGAGAGCAGTTAATAGCAATGCCAGCATCTCTGAATTATACTGCGGCTGCACACATGCTCTTTCACCACAGGACTACAAACCAGAAACCCCAATGTGAATATTAAAATAAATATATATTCCTAGGAAGGAATTCATCTGTCTAGGTTTTTCCATACAAATCTTTCAGGGATTTCAGGATATGAGAGCATAATGAAAACACAGCTTTGCTGATGCCAGTGATAACCAACCAACCTTTTTATATAATTTACAGAGGTGAGTGTGATAGCGGTAATGAGCAACAGCTCAAGAAACGCTTCAGCAAGTGGCCTGAAGAGCAGAGCAATCGTCTGGCTGATTAATTTGAAACAATCTGCAACTGTAATTATTACACAGTGAAAAACAACTTTTTATTAAACATCTGTCTTCATCCCTGTTTGTTTGCAGTTAGAGATCGCACATACATATTCAAGTCATGGACAGCATAAGAGGTGGACATAGATACTAGGGGTGCAACGATACACAAAATTCACAGTTCGGTATCGGTTCGATACTTTTTCGATACAAAAAAATGTTCATGCCTTTTTAATTTGTCATTTATTAAAATTATAAATATATATTTTAACTCAAAAGTACAGTTTTTAAATTTAATGTTGCTGAAACAACAAAGTAATAAAAAAATTAATCTGATTGAGGAATCACTCATCTTTGGAAAAGAAAGTTTATTACAGAGAAATGTCTCTTTCCAAAATAAAAGCTATACTATACGCTTCTTCTGGGCTATATTCTCAGCAGCATATTAAACATATCAGGTCCCCATAAGGAGAATCATGTGCTAACGGCTGTCTAAATGACTCGGGTAAAGTTTGTAGCATGCGTGCTTGTTGTTTTTTTCTGCTTCCACTTGTCTTTGCACTAGGATGATGTCGGAGTAAATGTGCAGTCATATTCGTTGTGTTCCCACTAGTGCTGTTGGCGTTAATCTCATTGAAATTATGTTCACACCATAACACGGCAAATCTCCATTAACGAGCTACCGCGGATCGCCCCGTGCGTGGGGCTGGACGGCCAACACGTTAACGAGCTAACTGCGCTAACACACTAGTTCCTACCAATGTAATTGAGCATTGCGTGGCACATCCGACATACTGTTTTACTTTTGTCCATGACGCGCTTACCTTCAGGGTCATACTTCACATGAAAAGCAAAATAGTTCCAAACGCCAGATCTGAATGAGGGTGGGGGAGGTTCAATTTACCATTTTGCAACAAGAGCTTAACTTCTGTCTCGCTAGCTTGCCCTGCGCTCAGTGAATCTGCGTTCGACTACTCCGACTAGGCTGCACTGTCGAGCGCAGATCCACTGAGCGTTCAACACAGACAGCATCGTCAGAAGAAAAGTTGATAAAATAAATTAAAAATGTTGTATTGTTCGATACATATGCGTTTCGAACCGAAAGCACTGTATCGAACGGTTCAATATCGATACGAGTATCGTTGCACCCCTAATAGATACGGTGGTTTCCTGCTTTAAGCCTCGAGATTAGTGTTTTTGCTTTTGTCTGCTTTATTACTATTGTAATTCTCTATTTTCTTGTTGTCTAAAGGAAATATTAATCCGCTCCAAGATGTAAAAAAGACAAAAAGTTTTTAACTCACTCTCATTAATTATTATTCTTATTATTATTACCTTTATTATACCATAACGTCCCACTGAGATCACAGTCTCTTTTACAAAAGACACAAACAATACACATTAAAATTAAAACTTTGACTGGATTTTTATAAGACATATCCACAGGTCTCCTTCACTGCATTCATTATCATGTTTTTAAATTCACCGACAGATAGAGGCCTGTTTAAACTTGGGTCAGTCTGTTAATTATTCCATGTTCAAGGGGCTTTGTGAGAAAATGCTATTTTCCTTTCCAGTTAGGTTTAGGTATCAGTTTAAAATCTTGGTTCTTTATGAGGTGAAGCCCTCAATTATCATCAGTGTGCTTCACCCCAATTCTCCAAGCTGGATCCTTAGGCCTGCAGATGGAGGTCTTCTTGTGATTCCACGTATTTGTCTGGAAACAAGTGGGGAGACTGTGCATTCCCAACGTTACCACACCAAAACTGTGGAACAGCTCACCACCCTCTCTTCGCACCCTTGACTTTGTGGCATCCTTTAAAAAAACAGTTTTAAACTCCTCTGTTTTTGTTGGTTCTTGTGTCTTCATTTGGAGCTTGTTTTTGGTGTCTCTGTAAAGCACTTTGTGACTAGTTTCTTGTTGTTAAAACTGTATAAATACATTTTTACATCTTGGTTTAAAAAAAAATAGATGTGACGAGGAGCGGTGGGTCTGACCGTAAAACTGTTCACTCATTGGCTAATGACTTGTCAATCACAAGTTGTTAGTCAGGGAGCATACCGCTGATAATCCTGCTTTAAGAAGCATGAATGTGAAGAAAAAATAAATTTTTATGCCATATGAAATGAGTGACTGAACCCATAAACCCATAAAGGACCCCCACTCTCTCCCCCAAACAACACAGAATAGGATAAGTGGAAGAAAATAGGTAGATGCTCAATAGTTTTTATAAATAGTATCTTAGACTGTAGAGAAGCACTAATGTATTGCATTGGTAGTTGCAATTTGTGAAATTACCCATTACCCTCTGGATGAATGCACAATTGGTGCCATTTTGGCTTTTGCTAGAACCGCATAATCCAAACTTGGGCGCAAGGGAAGTGGAAGCAATCTGTGTTTGGATGAGTGGGGAAAAGCCATGAAAGCTGATGTGACTGGCAGAGATTCCCATCCAAAAACATGCTTCCTTAACGAATCTCCTGAGATTCGGTAATGACAAATGTTGTGGAAGTTAACTTATTTTAGGAGAAAAGTTTGTGAGATTTTTTTCTTTTCTTTTTTTAGTAGATTCTGAACACAGGCAGGTTTATTGGTGCCTGTCTGGCATTAATTAGAGGAATTATAACTGATGGCACTGCACCAGATACTCTTGATAATTATGGCATTAATCAACTGTTTTGTTTCTTTTTTTAAACGGACATACCAAGAATGTGTCATCAAGTCATCATCTCTTATCATAACGTCTCAATTCTCAATAAAAGGAACTGAAAAAATAACGAGACATGATGTCGCTTTATGGTGGATGCATAAATAGAAAATTGCACAGCTCTTTATAAAACACTAATGTGGAGCGGGGCTTTGATCCCACTGCTTTGTGAGACGAACACAATCAAAGAGGGCTCCAAATACAAAGAGAAATCATGATTCCCAACTTAACCCACCACCGACGGGGGTAAATGAATAAACATCCTCTCAGTATGAAAAAGAATAATACTGGCTAATGATTTTGTGCCACGAGTGCTGAAACATCCCATTAAATCTTTTTTATGTCTCCTGCTGAGATGATGTCACGTCTGTTTCAACTGGATCATCTTATTCAAAAAAAAAGACTGCAAAGCAGAAAAAAGGTTGATATGATTGATTTTGTTCTCCCTGTAGGTTGGCTGTAAGGTGTTGCAGTTCTTTCACATGTACATGTTGGGCTGTAATTACTTCTGGATGCTCTGTGAAGGCATCTACCTGCACACGCTCATCGTGGTGGCGGTGTTTGCAGAGGAGCAGCACCTGCACTGGTACTACCTCCTGGGCTGGGGTGAGTCATTTTTACCACGTCCCGTTTTGTTGTTTTGTTTCTTTGCTGTAGTGTGTCTGTAAAAACTTATTCTTGCAGCTTGAAAAATCCCAGAGAAGCAGTTCAACAAGATTGGGTAAAATCTAACAATTTTCTTGTGACTGAGGTTATTTTAATATCAAGCGTGCGGTCATTCAGTTTAAGAGCATCATTTGTACGTTTCCTGTTCAGACAATGCTCTCCCTTAAACGTCTGCACTCAGTTTAATAGTCTTCTGAACTCAAATGCTTGCAAACATTTCCATCCTTGCACCCGAGTTTCTTTTGTTCACTTGCTCTTGGACCTCCAGTCCTGCTCATGCATCTTTATGTATGAGCTGATAACCCTGCGGTGGTGGTGGGGATTCCACAAAGAAGACAGTTCGCCGTATGCCGTTCCCCAGCTCTTTGTTCTCACATTTCCTACTTACATCTACTGTCCTTTCAAGTCTTAGATATGGTGTTGACCAATGACATTGTCCTTTCCCCCATTTATGAGTACATTTGCTTTAATTCTGTGAGAGTCCTTTAGGAACAGATATTTTCAGATATTTTCTGACTTAGAAATTTGTGCCTTCCTTTTGTACAGTCACGATTTTATATACATGCATGCATCATATGTTTTAGAAGAGCGGTCCCCAACCGCCGGGTCATGGACTGGTTCTGGGCCGCAAGAGTTGAGGCTTGGGTGTGAAATTTATGGTTTCATGGTTTTTATTGTCAACTTGGTGTTTGTAGTTGTCTGTCTTATTTTGAAATAAATATTTACACGTTAAGCGTTAAGGGGCAGAGAGGAGGACATTACTCTCAATGTTGTTGGTGCATTTCAGGAGGACGCTGTTAACAAAGTTATACAATTACACACTGAATTCGCGTTTATTGTTATATTTACAAAATACCACCGTTTTTGTCTTGGTCGTATCATTTTATTTTGTTGTATTTATCCGCGACACATCCGTGAAAATATTGTCTGACATTAAACCGGTGCATAGCGCAAAAAAGGCTGGGGACCGCTGATTTAGAAGAACACACTATAGTAGACTTATTGTATGTACTAAATCAAGCTTTTCATTAGATGAGCAAGACTGCTAGTGACAAATGAATAAAACAATGAACTGACTCTTAGGCTGGCTGATTTATTTTTCCCTTAAGCTGGCTGTCACTTTATTAAATTTACAAAGTGAGCAGAGGTAGTGACTGGGACCCAGAAGTTTGATAAACAAACAAGCACCTTTCATGCAAGAAGGTGGATTAGACTGGATCACAGGAAATCTGTGCAAGCAGCAGTATATCGTAGATCTGAGCAAGCGCAGAGCAAATATGCTCGCGAGCAGTCGTCTGTTTGATCAGAGGGCAGAGTTTGCATTGTAATATCTGAATGTGAAAGCAAGAAATCATGGTCTTGGATAAAGGTATTTCATTGTGGACATGCTGACAGCTTTATTGGCCCTCCTGTCGCTTGGTGCTGCTCCTGTCTTGTTTTCCACACTGCTCCAAACAGGAATAACACAGTCTGTCAAAAAAAAAAAGAAAAAAGAAAAGCAGGCAATGGAACTGGATGGATGATCATCATTAAAAATGTTGGGATAACCTTGAGTAAAGTCTTTGCTGTGTGTGTGTGTGTGTGTGTGTGTGTGTGTGTGTGTGTGTGTGTGTGTGTGTGTGTGTGTGTGTGTGTGTGGATGGATGGAGGGAGGCCAGCTTGTCAGATCCATCTGTGGCCAGCACACTGCAGGGCCTCATTGAAAATGGACCCTACATGGAGTTTTGTGTTTATATCCAGAGGAAAAGATGAAAAATCTGTGCCCAGTGTCTAGTGGGTGTTTACCTACACAATGTCAAATTAGAGGGAAAAGTAACAGAAAATTAACCGTGTGGTAGTGTTGTCTTTGTTGTTAGCGGTGCAACAATAAAGCTGTCGCAGGAGAGTTTGCAGAAATAAGGAGGACCCAGCTTTCCAAGGAAAGTTTCATTAGACCAACAAACAAAGCTAAACCACGCTTTCACAGTTGTGTTAATGACAAATGCAATTTCACAAAACTCACTCAAGACCTCATATGGCTCCCATCTTTTCCTCTCCAAGGTTTTCCTCTAGTGCCTGTATCCATCCACGCCGTGGCAAGGAAAAAGTATTTTGACGACAAGTGAGTAATGTTCCAGAAACCTCGGCAAATAAACAGAAGATGTTTACATTTGCGCTGGGCTGTGTGCGGTAGAGTGAGAGCGTGCAGGCGCGCGCGTTTTCATATGTGTGTGCACGCATGTGTATTTTGGGAGGCTGACAGCACTGACTGATATGTTTTTCCTTCTGTAGCTGTTGGATGAGTGTGGAGACCCATCTGCTCTACGCCATCCATGGCCCTATAGTGGCAGCACTTCTTGTAAGTCTGCTAATCCACTGTTTCCGCACAGAAAAAGCACGAAAAACTAATTTTACATGATGAGTCTTTATATTTTTGTATTCATTTAGGTTTAATTCATGATTTGTTTTTTCTTTTTCTGTAGGTCAATCTCTTTTTCCTGCTAAATATTATCAGAGTTTTGGTTACCAAGTTGCGAGATACGCACCGGGCAGAGTCCAACATGTACATGAAGGCAGTGAGAGCCACCCTGATCCTGGTTCCCCTGCTGGGAATACAGTTTGTCATCATTCCCTGGAGGCCGGAGAACCGGCTGGCTGGTGAAGTCTACGAGTACATAATGCACATACTCATGCATTACCAGGTAGGCACGAGCTGCAGCAAACACACAGGAGCTCAGTTCAGAGTAATCTAACAACGACTTGAAAAAGGAGGCTAGTGCAGCTTCACTGCCCTGGGGATTCAGCCGTTTTGCACCTCAGGCTTAAATCATAATGACCTTGAAAAAAGCAATTAAATTATTGCAATAAATATGCTTAGCATGAGCTTTACTTTATACGGAAACCTTAGTGCAAAACTGAGACAGTGTACAACCTAGATTTGTCCGTACCCTTGGGCTCCCCAGGCTCACGATGCTGATTTTTAATTTTGCATGACTGAACTTTTACGCCCTTAAAAACATCGTTCTCTGCCCTGTGGTTGTTATTATCTATTCATGCGACTCCCTTAAAAAAACATTTGGGTTCAACCTTAGCTTTGTTTTATGTTTTAGTAGCTTCTTAATTTACTCCTTCCCCCAAAAAGACGACATTTGAAGGAGGTGGGCGTGAAATACGACAGAAGCCGCTCAGTTCAGGAAAAAGAAATGAGGGTTGACCCTGGTAGGCATTCACAGGGGAAAGAGTTAAACAATCCATGAAATATTTATGGCCCATTAGATAATTCTGTTGTTGCCCCAATATTTCTTTGTATTCTCTCTTTAAAAGTTGCTTTCCCATCTCACTTCTATAAAGTCACACCCTGTAAAAAATAAATAAATAAATAAATCATGTGTCTAAGCAATTCCTTCCTCCAACGGTTCAGCAGATGGCTGCACTGTCTGAGACTACTTCTGTTGTGATTTTTTTTTAGATGTAAAAAAGCAAACTGAATTTACTAGAAAAGAAATGATTATCTCCTTTTTCCATCTTTGTTTCAGGGTTTGCTGGTGTCAACCATATTCTGCTTCTTCAATGGGGAGGTAAGGGCTGTCATTTAGTTAGCTCATTAGCTAACATTAGCGCTGCTCGCGTGTCATTTGTTGCTAGGTGTAAGAAGGCAGTAAGGGGCGCTTACGATGCTCATTTCCAATTCCATATTTCTATTTTTGGATCCTACTAGAGTAGTGTTGCAAGATTTACAGTTCAAAATCATTTTTATTTATTTTATACTCGCCTATTTTACTGCTCTCTGGGTTTCCCAGTATCTGAAACAAGCTGCGTTAGCTCCTTTCTTCCCTCTCTCTCTGAGCCAGTTTTCTTCTTATATGCTAGCCCTTCCAAAAACAAGTTTTGAAAAGGTGGTGGGGCTGCTGTGCTCGCAACCCGCTGTGTGTCTGACACAATTGGTTCACTTTAATCAATAAGTAATTAATAAATTAGCTTTAGCGGAAACAAAGGGAAATTAGCCCCAGGACGAAGCTTGTCTTAGTCTTTAGTCGCTACGTGTAGCTAAGCTAACATGCCTGATTATGAGTATCATATTTTTATTTAAGTGTGGTATCAATCATAGCGGTTTACTTCTGGCAAGAAAGTGAATAATCCCCCAAATATCTGAGAGTTCCTTTAAAAAATATTGTACCCCTGTGCCATGTTTGACATCATAATAGCGTAGTTTTGATTGAGCAATTGGCCTTTTGGAAAGGTCAACCTGCACATGTTACTCTGGGAGCTTTTCAGTGATTGTGTAATAAAAACCGCTCATCCCTTATGACATTATGCATGACACATCAGACTGCATCAGGTAAAACATTTTCAAAATTTGTTTTCAGGTCAGATCTCTTCCATCTGTATCGAGAAGTGACCCATGAATACCAAACACAGACTCATAGTTTTGGTTTTGGCCTTGAGTACGTGGGTAAAATAGCTGTAGCTTCGCAGAGATCTCTCCAAATTCCAAATGTAGCAGGTTATAAAACATTCCTCCGCTTTTTCCTCTTCTGAGACCAGTCTGGTGCTACAACAGTAAAAGCAGAAGGGTCATGTCAGGCGAGGAGTAAGACACACTTTATAAATGACTGTGTGGTTTCCAAGCTCAGCTGAATATTGACTCTTCTTTCTTCGTTCTCCTGTCAGCCTTTCTAAGCCTGTCTGCAGCTGTCTGACAGCAGCATCCTTAACTTGATTGAAATGCTTCACCAAACCGATGAGCTGGAGTTGCATTAAACGCAGACCTCAGGTTAATAATTCTGTGAAGACCTCACAGCTCTCCAGACTCAATGTGTGAAAGATGCTTTCAAGCTCAAGTCTCCACAAGGGTTGTAACATTAGAGGACACATTTCAGGCATTTTGCTAGTCCACACCAGTGTGTGAATGGCGCGTAGACATCAAGCAATTAAACAACTATTTAATTGCTATTATCTGTAATATTTAATTAAGGCGTTTAATTAAGAAATATTTATGCTGTAAATTGTGTTCCCCTAACAAATATTGATGCTTTTTTATGAGGTGTTTTGTTGCAATAGTGGAAAATACTGCAGAGATGCACAAGCTATGGAAAACATTAAAGCCAAGTGAAATAAATTTGTATGGATTGGTCTCCTGTGCTTATCACTTCACACCATGAAAATAGTTTTGGCCAGGGTCCTATTTCTAGCCAGAACCTACTGTACGGTCCCATACTGTGAGGGCTGTCATTAAGAGCAACCATTTGCTGTGCAGGCTCTGCCCTCATGCAGTCCTTCAGAATGCAAAGCAAGTGATGTCTGTGTGCAGAAGCACTAAGAATTTTACTGTACAATTCTTCTTCTTCTCCATTTCACAATGAAAAAAATACTCCACCCACAGTACACAGACATGCAATTAGTGGGGTCAGGTTAATTGTTGAATCTAATTTACCCATAGGTCTGAATGTGAGAGCGAACGGTTGACTGCCAACCTGTTCAGGGTATTCCCTGACTCTCGCCCTATGGTAGCTGGGATAGGCTCCAGCACTCCCCCGCGACCCTGATAAGGATAAATGGAAAATACTATGGGAATTTAGGATCTTGATATTTCTTAAAATAATTGTTTTCATCTCCAACAAAGTCTGATTTTTACAATGATGACGTTAGCTACAAGAGGCTTTGGTGTCCCAGAGAAAGGTGCTTTTCCAGAGTTGCTTGAGTTTGTATAACAAGCAACAACCCTGAGAAGGCAAAAAAAACCACTGTGGATCTGTTATATGTACACTTCTTATATTTGGAAGTTGTTGCTGTTGGCCAAGCAAGGAGTGCTTGATGGTTTTGTTAGCAACAACAAAAATCTCTGGAAGACAGTGGTGGATGATCGTAGGATCTTTTCCATGATAAAGAAAAAAAGTAATTTCCCAACATTTTCCAGGAGTCAGGCAACTTTCCAGGAATAGAACAGCCTGATTAGACTTTGCCAAAACACTTTTAGAAACCAGAGCAATTTTAAAAAAGGATTCTTTGGAGAGATGAGAATAACACTTAAATCTGGCAGGAGGATGGGAAGAAAGAAATGCATGGAAAATGCTTGGATCTGCAAATGATCCAAAGCATACAGTATACCATCACCTGTAAAACAATGTGGGGGAAATGTGATGGCATCAGCTTGTATGCTTTTTCATTGCATATGTTTTGATTTGTCACAGTAGGAAAAATACATCCCACTTTGGGAATTCCCTGCTTTTGTCTGTGCCGTTCCATTCTTAAGGCTTACTGCGGCACCTAATGGACATGAGACATCTTGAAGTCCACCTGTGCTTTCTGTACTGTGACAAGGCAAACACGTGCTGTGAACATGTTCACTCACTAGTGTTTTCATTTTTTGTGAGTTGAGAAAAGACAGAAGCAGAATTCTGGAGTGTAACATTTTAATTTCTGCTCAGGTTAAATCAAATCCAATTTATTGGTTTGTGTTTCAACAGAAGCACCTCACACGTGAACAATGAGCCAAAACATACAGTGAAAGCAACATGGAAGTTTTGGAGGTCAGGAAGTGGAATAATGTGTTTGCAGAGTGGCTGCGGTATAAGCCTTCACAATAATCAGTGAAACTGGCTACACCAGGCATAGAGCCAGGGATCGCGCCTCTGCAAACATAAAAATAGACCAGGCTTGATTCCCCCCCTCCAGTACCGACACTTCTGGGTGTCAGAACTGACGACAGCTAGCATAAAGGAAATGACTCCAGCATCAGATTTTATTTTGCTGATACATCTGCTAACATCATCCTAACTCACACATATCACACAAACTAGGTAAGAATCTTAAAGTTTCACAGAATTGTGGCCCCTCAAAACACTGGAAGCATTAAAACAAAAGCTCATCGTGGTGTTTTTGTGACTCACGCAGCCCTACGCCAACCGCACGCATTCCACAGCACAATGTCCACGCTAAGTGTTAGAGCACTTAGCATGAGGTGTTTGGCAAAGAGGACCTAGCAACCCACTGTCAAGCTCTGTTTTATGCATCCAGCTTGGAAAATATGTCACTTATTAACTCGTACATGAGCAGACAGGAAGCAGTCTCATCACCGTAAAGGATGCAAACAATTTGTCAAACACAATCAATGCATAGGGCATACGTGTAAAGGGTGAACACACGAACTGTCACAAGGGAATGCAGTGGTTTGTTTGCTTCACCGGCATAATGGCCAATTCATGCTCTCTTAATCAGGACACGGGTTTCCTGGGCTGAGTTCAATTCTTTTTTTTTTTTATTTCAAGGCCAAACTACAAAGACCTGCCTTGTTTGTTCAATAGCCCCATTGTGAGGTTAGGTCAGTGAGACAAACAGCTTTCAAACTGTATTTGTGACACCAAGCACGACGTTCAGCATGAAGCTGTAAGACTCAGATGCTCATTTGTCTCAGAATGACAATTAGTGCCATAATTTATATCATTAGATCATTCTGTGTTAATGTACTCACAGTAATTACAGTGGTATTAAGACATGACTGAATAAAATGATTACCTTTGCACCGTTAGTAGTTTGTGTTTTGGGAAGAAGAAAGATTTCTACCATATGCTGTAGACAACTTAGCATTCATGTAGTGTGACGCTAATATTGGTTTCCACGAAGAGTGTCACGGCTGGCGGGGTGAGCTGTGTGGTGTTGGAGGAAAAGGAGGACCCAAAATGCGGCAGTGACTGATGATTCGAGTGACGTTTATTTACAAGTGGTGGAGTGGCAAAAACAGGCAGTGAGGCATGACAAAACAACTGAAGAAACCTAAACTGGGAGAACTAAATGACAAACCTGAGAGCATACAAAAGGGGTGCGGGGCAGAGAGACGCAGAGACAGGAACGAAACACCATAGAACTCAGACGAGCCGACAACGAACACAGACCGACACCCACTAAATATACACACACAAGGTAATCGGGTAATCACACACACAGGAGGGAAGAACAGCTGAACCCAATACACATGATGACCGGAGGAGACAAGCTGAACACAATGACAGACAGACGGAGACCTTCAGAACAAAACAGGAAATCTAGAACCCGAACCGGACACAAGGGGGGAGGACACAGAATAACTAGAACAGAGGAAAATAATCAGAAAACACAAAACGCTGGGTCAACGACCCAGCACCATGACAAAGAGTTGCTGTTGTTTGTTCAGATGCAGCGCCAGCGGCCAGTCTGCAGGGCTGCTGCCTGAAAAGTTTGAATTATTTGTGATTGTTATTGTAAAGGAACACGCAGGAAGACTCTATTGACAAAAAAATAGTTCCATATTTCCTTGTTATTTCAATGACCTCATAGTTTCTAAGACATATCAGACACACGATTCTCAAGCAAGCTGACAGGGAAAAGCATTGCTGAATTTTGGACTGGGGCGAGATTGATTGAAGTTTCTGCATGTAACGCTGTGACTAATGATCGCATTAAGGCTTAAATAGAAGGATTATGAAGGGTTACGTGCTATAAGTCACGAGGGTAGTAATGGATTTTGTGATGACACAAATGGATTTGGTTCACAGTAAATTAATGTGTTTAATGCGTCAAATGGTTGCAGCAAGATAACAATGGTTGTCAACATGCCTATTCAAAAAGTGCTGGAAGATTTGTTGCTTATATAATCACTACAGTCATATTCTGATCATTTAATTGGTGCAAAGCCTGAAGAGAAAGAAGTTGTGCACTTTGTTTTTTAGTCAGGATGCCAGAAAGAGAAAATTGTATGTATCCTTTGGGATAATCATGGTCATGTTTTCATACCTTTGAATGGCATCGGTGGAAAGATGCCATTTGACTGTTGTTAGATTTAGTAGGTGAAATGTGTGGAAGTAAGTTTATTTATAACATGGTTATAGATCACTTCATTATGTACACCTGTTCAGCTGCTTGTTGCTGCATATATCTAATCAGTATTTAGACACGGTCTAGACAACCTCCCAAATTTTAAATTGAGCATCAGAATGGGGAAAAACGTAATTTAAGTGACTTTTAATGTGGCATCATTGTCACTGCATCATCATTGCTTGTCTACTAGGAGTTTCCTACAAACCATCTCTAGGTTTATAGAGAATGGGCCTGAAATGAGGAAATACCCGGCGAACACATGCCTTGTTGATGTCAGATTAGAGGAGACTGGTCAGAGTTACAACCAAGGTATGCATAAGAGCATCTCTGAAAGCACAAAATGCTGATACTTGAGGTAGATGTGCTTCAATGACCAAAGTAGAACATGCAAGATGTCTTAGCTAGACCATGCTCCTGTCAGATAGGAAGAAACCGATGCTACAATTTGTGCAAGATCACCAAAATTGGACAACAGACAAAAAATTGGAAACATGTTGGCTGAGTGTTGATTTTTGCTGCAGTATTTGGATAGTAAGCTCAGACTTTGGTGTAAACAACAATGATGCATTGATCATGCCTTGTATCAATAGTTCAGACTGCTAGGCCCCCTCACTACCAGCTGAGCACTGTTTAAATGCCACCGCCTTTCTGAGTAGTGTTGCTGACCATGTCAGCAGCGTACCCCATCTTCTGATGGTTGTTAAGGATAATGTACCATGTCACAAATGTCAGTTAATCACAAACTGGTATCTTGAACATGACAATAAGTTCACTCACTCATCAAAAAAGCTCAGAGGAATGTTCCCAGCCCCAGGTTGACTGTATGCCACGACAAATTAAGGCAGTTCTGAAGCAAATGGGGTTCCTGCCCAGAACTAGAAAGATAAACCTTGTGTATTTATCTCTTTTTATAGTGAGATGATCTGGCCACATGCACAACCTGGCCACCCCCGCCCCCCAAAAATGGATATTTACATTTTATAGCTGTCATCTGCTAATGTGATTGAAATTTGAGTGGCCCACACATGCTGCAGTAATAACATGCACATCAGTTAAGATCATTGTCAGTTGGATCAGTGTTGTCACAAACTTCTCCGACTCAAAACACAAAAACAAAGCTTGCAGTGAAGTCAAATAATTAAATTAGATGTAAAATATTATTATTAAGGCTGCATGTGTCTACTTATGAGACACTAAACTACCTTTTTTATGTGCTTGTGTGACATCCAGGTGCAGGCAGCTGTGAAGAGACAGTGGATGCAGTATAAAACCCAGTGGGGTCAGAGACGAAAGGACCACTGCTCGATGCGCTCCACGTCCTACACAGCTACCTCCATCACCGAGGTACCCGCCTTCATGTACCATCACGACTGTAACACCGAACACTTGAACGGGCGCCACACGGAGGACTCTGAGCTGGTGGCGCTAAAGTCGGGAGACACGTACGCTTGAGTAACGCCGAGGATAAAATGCGTAGCAGTGGAAAAAGCCGAGGACGAGCAACAAAGTAAACGTACAGCAAAAAGAAGAAAATGAATTCAGTTCACCTGCCATATCTCAGCGATTAAATCTCCGGGGCTTGCTCAGCTCAGGAGGATGATAGAGGCCTGAAAACAAAAAGCTCATTGACGTGGATTAGCTACAAGGCTGACACTTTACTTTACATTGCTGTTGCAGCTGCTTTTTCAGAACTTTGATGTTGAGAACTTGTGACGTAAGGAGAGCTGCTTTTGACATGTGTCAACTTCCTAAAGCTGCTAAACTGCGTGTGCCCGCTCGCAGTGATGGAGGCTTGCACTAGTGTGGAAATAACTGTGACTGTGTGAGGGTAGCAAAGTTTTCTTTCTTTTCCTGACGGTGCTGAAGGTGACAGCGATGATGTAGAGGTGAATAATGACTGCGATGGTGTTGATGATGACTATCAAAGCGAAGTAGACGAACCAATCATTCCTAACCTCACCTATACCAAAGGGTACTGTTTGGTGGTCACGACCGCGGGGGGGCGTACTATGTCCAGCTAAGCACAGGTGCCATAAAGCAAAAGACACGGACGCAAACACACACGCAAACGTCAGCAAACCTCATCGACCTGATCAAATGTGCCATGAAAGAGGTCAACTTTCAGAAGACCCTCTCTGCTCCAACCTCTGGAATTGTGTACATAATGTATGTTCACCATGTTTCATTTAAAAAAAAAAAGTGTTTTAAATGTTTTAAAAAGATTTTTGTTTTCCCCCCACCCACACTTTCTATCAATGTTTTATCCTTGCCGATTCCCTAGTACGTGCTCAGTAAATGTCCCGTGATGCTGCATCCCTGACTGCTTTGTTGTTATGCAGTTGCTGTATTTGTGCCGATGCTGAAGCTCACAGGGCTGTGACGCAAAAATGCACACACACGAAATACTTCAAAGCTAAAAATAAAACCGTTCTGTTGAGGCCGAAGAGCCACCGGAGTTGATCCACTGTGTTCTGAGTTATGATTCAGTCAGCTCTGCCAATGATTCTAATTTATCCTCAGCCATCCTTTGTGAGCTCATGATGTCTCTAATCTGTCACCTGCTCTTATCTGGGAAAAGAGAAAGGCTCGCTAAAGATGAAATCCAAACTGTATGCGCACACTAAACCTACCGATGTCTTAAATGCATGTTCGCGTCTTTGTCACGGTCTTGCACGAACATGATGTTTAAACTCATCCATCAGTGGTCCTAAACACGTTCCTATTACTCCTCTGCCTTTTCTTTATTAGGCTTGGTTAAGGGTTTGTTGAAACCTTAGTAAATGCTGTGTCTTGCATTTATCTGTGCAAGGTCCTTCAAATCTGGTCATTTTTTAAACTGCATGTCCAATAAGAGACATTTCAGTTCCACCAGATCAAAACATTTATATTTCTAGAGCATGTAGCCAATGGCTATTAAATCCTCTGGCTGCTCACATTACTGTGATTTGTTTTTGCCTCCTTAGCAGCAACTTCTCTTTGCTTACATTGTCAAAATGGAAAAGCGTTCCAAGTTGAGCTAAATTCTTGGTAAAAGGCATGTAGAAGTACCATCTTATATAATAAAGCTGGTGATACTCGGTATCTTTTGCACTTTTAGTAAGCAGAAATTCAGCAGTGCGTCAGCGTGAGTTGTTCTCGCTGGCGCTCGTGCTGATTTCTCCAAAATAAAGATGTACATCTTTTAACATGTAAACACATTTACTTATCTAGTACTTTAAACTAAAGGCTGAGTACTTGGAGGAGGGGGAGACCTCGAACCTTTTTAAAAAAATATTACTCAAACAGAGGTTTGCTCAAGAGTTGTCTGCCATATTGGACGTGATACAACCACCGATTGTGAAGTGTGTGTTCCCCAAGTGCTTAGCAAGTGATTGGCTGTCACTTGGTGAAATCGAATGCAAAGAGGACGCGGCACCAGAACACTTATGATTGCTGTGGTGGTGATCAAACTGTTGTGGTCACCTGTAAATTTGCAGACTGTCTTGTCTGCAAACACTCACTTTTAAACCACCAACTAGTAGTAATGTAATAAGACTTGACAAAGTGGATGGAGAGCAGAGAATGTTCCGCTCAGTCAATTATCTTTATTTTTCTGACAAAAACAAGGTGATAACTAAATAAAAACTAATGTACGAGGGCAAAAACTATGTTGAAACATGTTGACATTTTGCCAACGAATAGAAATAGAATAGAAAAAAAAATCTGAAACGAGATCCAATCAAAACTAATTACATTTCTTTTCTTCGGGAGGGAGACTAGATAGTGACGAGGAAGAGAAGCAAAGACTTATGGACGCTTTTTGTATTTCATGTCAAGGAAGATCAGATGTTTTGTAAACCGTGTGGAGCAACTCAACAAACTTTTAGACTTTTTATTTTAGTCCAGCTTAGATTTAGTCCACTATAATCGTATAACATTTAGTTAACTACGACTAGACTAAAACTAAATTATGTTTTAGTCAAAAGACTGTGACTAAAATGAAATCAAAATTTGATGTTGAAGGTTGACCTTCAAAGTAAATGTTAGCGATCCACCCAACATGTTTCTGAAGGCTTTTACTGTGAAGGAAAACGGTCTTTGCTGCCAGGTTGTGTCGCACTCTTTGCACTTTCACTGCTGCTCAGAGAGTTGTGAGTGTTTGTGGGCAAGTGAGTGTGTTGCATGTAACTACAGGCAACCAAAACACAAGTTTGTTGCCATGGAGTCACTGACCAGGCTGTAGGCCTGTGTCACTGGAGCCTTTATCACTTGACTCTGCACTGTCATCATGTTCGTCGCACGCCTAAGGTGGCAGACAAGTTAAAATCCCAACCTCAATACATGATGCCTTTGATCATTTTAGAGATTAGTTTCAACTGTGAACAAAGAATCACTATTAATAATTCTGAAATCACAAAAATCAATTCAAAGGTGTTTAAAAACTAAATTGGCTACACACATATTTATATAATGAGAAAACATTTTTACTGTCATTTTATGTGTACGTGGTGCATTTGTTGAATGTGTGCTCAATTTTTATTTGCCTTTTCATTGTCAACTGTCGGGCACCACCTGTGAGAGATTAGAATAAGAAAAAGCTCTAAATATATCTAATCTTCATAGACATTGTGAGATCACTGTCACTATGGATAAGAGATGCTCCACAGGTATCCATGCAGAATAAGTTTGTACATTCTAATGATTGTAAGAATTGGCTTGTTGATATTCATTAATCTGTAAGTATTTGCTTTCTTTAATCAGAGGAAAATCATATGAATGCAGACCATTTAAAAAAAAAAATTTCATAGCTATATAGGAGATTTATCTGAGTACATCTGAGCACTCACCACTGAGAGCGAATCACACAGAGTCACTCATGAATCAGTTCAGAAAATCAAATCATTTTGATGAAATTACTCAAATCAGGGATGCCACTATTTACTAGTTGTAATGGCGCAGCTTCTCTACAGTACATAAACCGCACGCTGCACAAGCTGAATGCATTCAGTCCCTTTTCATGGCTTCACCTGTCAAATCCTCTTACAGCCCCCACCCCTTTGCATAAAACAGACATTGGGATATGTTTCATATTTCAGTGACTTTTATGTTACCAGCTGGCTGTAAGGAACTAGGAAGGACCGTAGAGAGACAATCATGATGGCAGAATAGGTTTTACTGATTCAAATGTTTTAGTATGAGAGAAAAATTATTTATTTTAGTATGAAATACATCTTCCTCTTCATTTTTATTATGGTGATGTTTCCTGGATCTTGTGCACACTGTAAGACATATTATTAGTGTTGTGGATTCTGGATTCTATATATTTTGTATGTCTGTTCATGCCCATGTAAATACAAGCAAACACTGTGTACATAATAGATTTTTGCACTGTGAAATTCTATGATGATTATTTTTGTTACCCCCCTCCCTTCTCATTTATTTTTGGCTTGTGTTTGTCTCTTTCTCCTTCTCAGCTTGGACTAGCATCATCTCAGAGCTGATAAAAAATGTATTTTGTAAAAGCCACAACGATTGGTGTTGTTTTTTTAAAATCTTCCACCCATTTAGCACAACAACAGAGACATATCATTTGGTGTCGCTCTCTATTTCTTGAGCAATCAGCAAAAACAGAAAGCTGTGGCGTGAATGCAAAAGGTAGAAAAAGATGAAAGCTAACAATCGGAAAGTGGACAATTTTCAGAGTCTGATGACTTAATGATTAAAAAGCGTGCTTTGTTTTGTTATTTTCGTAAATAATTCGGTAAGATTATCGAGTTTAAAACCTTTCTGAAACAAACTTTGTTTTCCAGCAATTCTGCGAAATTCTGTGTTGATTTAGCAGCTTACTCGCCAACACTTTCTCCTGTCAACATTTCAGGGTTGAGAGAATTTGTTTAATGAGTGTGCAGGGAAAACAGGGGAAGTCTAGCTCCATGTGGTGTCTTGCCTTGTGATTCCTCAAGGCAGTGCTGGCAGCGCTTTACAGCCCTGTTTTATTTTAAAGGTTCTGCCTGAATTACATAAAAGCATCTGATGTCTGTAACAGGAAAAAATCCACTGACATGGATCCGCTACAAGATGAATGTCCGCGTACACTCCATAACATATTAAAGTAATTACGATATGTTGCTCACAGTGGTGAAGGCTTCATAAGTCAGCAGTTCAGTGATACTTGATATGCTGTATCCAGGAGACATCTAATCATCTGTGTAACTAAAAGAGATCTGACCAAAGCAGTTTCTGAGATGAATAATCTCCAGTTCACCCAACATTTTAAGGAGAAATGCAGTCTTGGACATTGGTCAGAATCAGTGTTTGGCCCAGGATATACAGTAATATAATTGGTTTACAGAACTACTTTTAAAAACCCCAAAGCGCTTGCAAACTCAAAGAGCGACTCAACATTTTTACAACGTCTATTAAAGGAGAATCTACAAGAAGCCAGAAGTTGATGAGAGGATATTTAAAAGGCTGACTGCTAAACAACCAGCTTCTGTATAGTTTCAGAGTACAGGTAAGATGAAGCAAAGGCTTTTCACAATACAGCAATAATCCTAGCCTTCAGGCTAACATTAGCTAGCAGACTACTTTTAGTGCTTCGCAAAGACTTTATTGGGGAGGTTTGCCAGATTATTAATGGCCCCCCAAAGTATATCTCATCTTAGACTATTATTACTTTTTAAAAATTCATCCAAAGTACTTGTAGACAGTCCCCTTACTCATAGTTTGACAGTTTAGCTATTGGTCCTTTGCATCTCATGTTTCTTTTGGGATTGATCACTGATGCTTCGTCGCTCATTATCATTCAGGTTCCTCTTGGTTGAGTCGCTCAATCTGTGGTCAAAGTTTAACTCTACAGTCTTGAGCTTCATTAAGACTTCTGTGGTGAATCTATGTAGAACCTATGATACAGCGTACGCCGGTGGCTGACACCATGGCCACATTCATACTTGTTAACGTTAGCGGTGACATGCAGTTACATTTCTAGACAGCAACATGTCTGGTTTTGCCGTAGGTTATGGTTTAGGGTTTTGTTACGAAGTTCCACAGTAACCACAGAAGTATAATTTTACTTTTAGGCCTTTTTTCTTTCTGTATCCGAAAATCCACTAGAGTCCACTTAAGCCTGAGTGATGGAAAGTTGGCCATCAGACGCTGCGACTGTGCTGACTCGTCTGTGGAGAATTTGCATTACAGTTAGATACTACGCATGCGCTCCAGGTGCCAGATTGCTAGCAGACCTCTACAGGCTGTATCAAAAAGGATAATCCTATTTCAAAGCACTTTCATTCTGCAGCCGTTCACCAGTAATTATCAAATCATGTACTGTTAGAAAGAGGGGATTTGTGAGTTTCACCCTGTTGCTGGTAGATAGCATAACAAAAGCAGCGGCTGGAGTGACTCCAGACATGCTCACAAAAGTATGGAGCGAGCTGGACTATCAAATAGACATAAGCTGTGCTTCACGAGGGGAACACATTCATTCAAACAATTGTGAAGATTGGAAGTTTTGTATGTAAAACTATTCAACCATATTTTTCAAATTTACCGCAAGCTTCTATGTCTATTACTTAAAAAAATACTCCTTTGAAATCAGGTGATTCTTTTTGTGTATTACAGGATGTGGAGTCTCCAGCTGTCTCTTTCCATGTCCACAGTGGAGTATAATAAGGCTTTAGACTGCATCTGATAAAACCTGAGTCTGCCAGAGCGCGCTCGGGTCAGTGAGACATACATTTAGTCAATAACGACGCTGAGAATCTGCGTGGACGTCTGCGTACCTGCTTGTTTTTTCTGACTTGTCGTAGAAGAATTTGCATTAAAATTCACATACTGCTCACACACCCAAGGGAGGTGGATTTCAAGAAGACTTCAGCAAAATATTACAGGAATGACTGCTGTGTTGTATTGTCTCCAGCTGTCTGTGTCCATGTCAGCAACAGAGTACAATCAAGGCTTTAGACTGCAGCTGATGAGGGACTGCAGTCCTTCATCTCCATCTCTGGAGATCCTCTGTGAAGATCCTCTCTAACCTTCACCTTCAGCCGCTCTAAGCTGCTGAAGGTGAAGCGCTTGTTCCTATGCTGCTATGCTGAGTTCACGGCGGCTGCAGAGCAGAATAGCGACTACCTTCACCATAAAACAAGACCATAAAAACTGGGAGTCCATCTGCAGCACAAGCTATGAACTGGACATGCAGCCAGATTTGTTGCTCAAATATTTGTCACAAAGAAACTCGCAATTAAATTTCTGCCAAGTAACCCACCTGCAGACTGTCGATAAATAATTACCTGAACAGTCAATGCAAGTCTGAAACTGTATGCATACTGTACTGATTATGAAGACACAATAAGCTTTAAGTCTCCTAAATTCTCTAAAACCCCTCGTTAGACCCGCACAGTGCAAGAATGTCAGCAAACTGCTGCGAGACGCTTCCGTCTGGAGAAAAGGTTAACGTGGAGCCTTTCAGAAAAATGTCAGCAGCTGCTTATTTCAAGCCATTCATTCCCTGACAGCAACAATCTCACAGTACACTGGACCAATCCCAAAATATGTGGTGTGCGCCCATTAATCGTAGATAAAAGTGATCATGTGGAGCGTTTTGCTCAGCTGTGTTAAAAGATGAAATGACACTGGTCCACATCTAAATCTCCAGCCGTGCTTTTTGAAAAGTGCTTCCAGTTTTCTTCAAGGTCGCCTAAAACCGTCATGTAGCTAAAACTGCTCCGATCACTGTTGTCAAGGATTTTTACTTTTCTTCCCTGCCCGCGCGTTGGACCTCTTAATGTCCACCCATTCCAGCTCAAGTGTACTGACTGAGTATGCTGAACCACTCTTTCACCCAGGGTTTGGGGTATTTTCTGCTTTCATGGCCAGAAATTCAGCTGAGCAACTCAGCAGAAGGCACAAGGATGTCCAAGAAATTGTGCCTTTTTTTTACTCTAGCTCAGCTGGGTTACACACAAAGACTCAGAGGGCCATTTCATTTATCTACCTCTCAAAGCTCACACTCCTGTTTCTGGTTTCATACTGTGCTGCTCTCAACCCAGCAGCAACACCAACCCTCCAACCAACCTCAATGTCACATTAAATGACCAAACTCGCCTGGAGGACTCGAAGGTCAAACTTTTACCAACAGATTCTGGTGTTTGACCAGTTGGTCATGAACACAGTAAACCATTAGCTTTGATAAAAAAATAAATAAATAATAGGTAACTGGTGCACACAAATGAGTGAATTTTATCTCATTCTGTAAATTTAGTTTAATCGATTTCCACCTCCCAGTCAACTGTAAGGAGGTAAATCTTTATTTTTAAGTCGCCTCTTTACATTTATTGATGCTCAAACATGCCTTTTTAGGGGTATGATTAGAGGCTGATTTTATGTTATTGCACCAGACCTCTGGAAGGCTTTGGACCATTTTTTTTTTTATTCTGACAAATAATATGGCTTTGCTGTGTAGTTTATTGGACTCTCTTCTACTATATTGTGCTGGAGTTTGCTTTCTGTGTGTGTATGTGTGACAAATTAGTCGGTATTATCAGATCTCTAGTTCAAATTTGTTCCGTTCCACCCAAACTCTATTTACAACTTGTAGACGTACAGTTCTATCTAAACTGAGTGACCAGTTGTTTCTTTATTGTTTGCTAGAAAAATCGGACACAGCTGTATTGATTTATTGAAGTGTGCACAAATAAATAGAAATAAAATATGTAATGCAATAACAGAGTTTGAACAGTTCTAACTACCCTGGTAGTCAATATTTAGTATGACTCGTTTTATTCTTCAACACAGCCTGAACTCTCTTAGCCGAGGTTTCTTATCATTTCTTTAAGTAGACTTCAGGAATAGTTCTCCAGGCTTCTTGAAGGCTATTCAAACTCTTCTTTGGATGTTGGCTGATTTTGTTCCATTTTCTGTGTGTGTTTCATTGTGCCTTCTCTCCAGGTGTGCTTTTACTGCACTGCCAATGTGTTTGGGATCTTTGACATGCTGAAAAAAATGAAGCTGTTACTAATCACACCCTTTTTAGATGAGCTTGTGTGGCGCTTGAAAATCCGGTGGCACTTTTCTGGGTTCATAATTCCATCAATTTTGACAAAATCCGCATCAACACTGGCTGAAGTAAAACTCCTGACCACCTCTGCATATTTTGATGGCCATTTGAACTAAAAATTTAAAAGCTGGGTTAATCACATGCACTTAGTTTCAGTCCAGTTGTTGTGTAATTTGGCAAGAATTAAGAATGGTTTCTCGACAGCCATCCTTCCACAGAGACCATTTCTGATGATGCGACTCTCATGTCCTGTATCGGATCTTTGCTGGATTTTTTCCCTTATTTTTGAAGACATGACTTTCAGATACTGTTCAAGTTATCATGTTCACAAACTTCAGTATCTATGCTGCCTACCCGCAGGGTGACGACAACACCCCATCAGCCTGTTACAGCTGAGGAGTAGCAAATGGTGGAGAGTCCCAAACATTTAACCCTTAGTAGGAGTTGTCCCCTTTGGAGGTGATCCTGA